ATCCAATCAATCAATCAATCACAACCAATCAATCAATCAATCAAATCAAGATCCTAGGATCTTGATTGGTTCAAGATCCTAGGATCTTGATTACCTCGCCTCGACACACAGCAGCCATTTCACCGTCCGTGGAGCACAGTGCGACGAGTTGACGAGAAAGTGAGGAGTGATTTCGCGACGCACCAGGCACGGTTGAGGGAGGACCCGGAGGAGCACGGACCGGCACCGAGTTTGGCGACTGCTTATCGCATTCTCGATCAGCCTCGATACAACGGTCGCAGGGACATGCTTTTAGGTTCACGCAGGGCTCCGCCTGCGTTGTGCACTTCCGGAGAGGACGGAGTGCCGGCGCCTCATGGTGAGCGACATCACAGCAGCATTAACGAGTTGGAGACTCGTATTGCTAGGGAGGAGGCGAGATTGAGGGAGTCGCACGAGGTGCTTGACAGGGAGCGCAGGAGGATGGCGGCGGCGCGCACTTCGGATGCTGATACGAAGGAGGAGCCCATTGACGTTGTTAGGCGCAGGGAGAGAGAGAGAGAGAGAGATTGGCCGCGACACAGACACGCATGGCACCGCCGACACGTGGACGACGACGAGCCGGCAGAGGCGGGGGGCGATACATATATGTACGGTGGTTTTGATTTGGATATTTCCTATTTTTTCGGAGGGTGCTTCGTATTTGTTTTCTTAAACGCGATTCACATGTACTTTAGTTTTGTAGCTCTTCGTGGCTGGGTTTTTTATATCTTTGCTTTTGTGACACATCTGTATATTATTGACAGCAGTTTCCCGTCGTTTGGCAGGTGGTCAATAGTCATGGCAGGAGCAGTTGTTCTCTTAGTTCGTCACATGTACTTTAGTTCTTCAGTTCTTTGCGGCAGGGTTTTTATATCTCCGCTTTTGTGAGACATGTGTACAGCAGTGACAGCTATTTCACTTTGTTCGGTGGGTGGTATTTATGATACATGAGAGGAGTTGTTCGACGAGACTCTTGTGCATCCGGGGATCTGACTCTCATATGACATGTTTTTTGTGTCATTCAAAAGTTGTATTGATTTTACTCTCTCGTTGGATGATCGTGTTGTTTCATATTGCCAATGGATTTTCTTTTTTTTTTTGTGTGTGTTTGCCTCAACGTTGTGTGCCAAAGTTAGTCAAACTCGATGCATGATGTCACGGTGTGGATGATGCATTGTTTCGTTGTGTGTCAAAGTGAATGCATAATGTCACGGTGAACATCGTGAAAGTGACCGAAGCAGACGGGCCCCACAAAACGGGCCGCCCACACCGCAAACGGGCCCCACCGAGCGGGCCCCACCAAACCAAACGGGCCCCACCAAACCAAACGGGCCCCACCAAACCAAACGGGCCCCACCCAAACGGGCCCCACCAAACGGGCCCCACCAAACGGGCCCCACCAAACGGGCCCCACCAAAGGGGGCCCACCCAAACGGCCCCCACCAAACGGGCCCCACCAAACGGGCCGCCCACACCGCAAACGAGCACCACCGAAATGGGATGAGATAACCAGCAGCCGGGCCCCACCAAATTAGATAACCAGCAGACAGGCCACCCACACCCAAACGAGCACCACCGCAAACGGGCCCCACCAAATGAGATAACCAGCAGACGGGCCGCCCACACCCAAACGAGCACCACCAAATGGGATGAGATGACCACCACCCAAACGGGCCTCACCAAACGGGCCCCACCAAACTAGCCCCACCAAAGGGGCCCCACCCAAATGGGCCCCACCCAAATGGGCCCCACCAAACGGGCCCCGCCAAACGGGCCCCACCAAACGGGCCCCACCAAACGGGCCGCCCACACCGCAAACGAGCACCACCAAATGGGTTGAGATAACCAGCAGACGGGCCCCACCAAATAGGGGATGGTATAACCAGCAGACGGGCCCCACCAAATGAGATAACCAGCAGACGGGCCGCCCACACCCAAACGAGCACCACCGCAAACGGGCCCCACCAAATGAGATAACCAGCAGACGGGCCACACCGCAAATGGGCCCCACCTAATGAGATAACCAGCAGACGGGCCACACCGCAAACGGGCCCCACCAAATGAGATAACCAGCAGACGGGCCACCCACACCCAAACGAGCACCACCAAATGGGATGAGATAACCAAATGGGATGAGATAACCACTACCCAAATGAGCCCCACCAAACGGGCCCCACGAAACGGGCCCCACGAAACGGGCCGCACCAAACGGGCCGCACCAAACGGGCCGCCCACACCGCAAACGGGCACCACCGAAATGGGCCCCACCAAACGCTCCCCACCAAACGGGACCCACCCAAATGGGCTCCACCAAATGGGCCGCCCACACCGCAAACGGGCCCCACCGAAAAAGGCCCCACGAACCCAAACAAGCACCACCAAATGGGATGAGATAACCAGCAAACGGGCCCCGCCAAACGGGCCCCACCCAAACGGGCCCCACCAAACTGGACCCACCAAACGGGCCCCACCAACACAAACGGGCCCCACCAACTGGGATGAGATAACCAGCAGACGGGCCCCACCAAACCGGCCCCACCCAAACGGGCCCCACCGACGGCAATTTCGGCAAACGCGCCCCCCCCCCAATGGGCCCCACCAACCTACTTTTTCCAACCCACCCAATTTGCCACCCCAACACGCAACAAAAGCCCATAATGACTAACCCCCTCCCCAACCCCCCAACCACCGCCGGAAATTTATTTTTTTTTCGTCGACACGTACATTGCGACGTGTCGAACACCCCCGCTTCGACAAAATCGCGAAAAGGGGGTGGGGGTATTTTTTTGGGGGGGGTCATAGGGAACCAAAAGTGACCCCCACTGAAATTTTTTTTAATTTTTTTTTTTTCCGGTGCGCGGGCCTAGGGACGCCGATGCGCCACCGGGAGCCGTTTTCGGAATTCCGAACGGACCTCCCGTTCGGCTGCCACGGGTCCGCGCGTCCGCGCGGCCGCGGACGTCCGCCGCCGAGGGGGATTCATAGCTGCTAGCACTACTACTCCTGCAGCGCTCCTCCAGACTGCAGCTGCTGAATCCTGAAGACTACCTCCTGCCTCCTGAACTGCACGTGAAGTGCCTGAGAAGTACCTAGGAACTACCTGCAGCCTGCAGGGCGGGCCAGTCCTATATAGTGCTGGCCCGTCCAGGAGGCTGCTCTTGCCAATACCAAAACGTGCCAGACCCTGGCGCTGAAGCTCAACCAAGGGTTGTCTTGAAAACAGGCCCAAAATGGCCTGTGCTAAAACCCTGGTCTGGTGCCTGAGTTTCAGGGCAGGTCGATCTTAYRAGGGCCTGAAAATGGCCCTCAGTTTCAGGCTGAAAAGACTCAGGGCCGGAAAGGCCCAGTTTAGGCTGAAACGACACAGGGCCTGTAGGCCCTTGTTTTCAGGCTTTCAGGCTGAAACGACACAGTGCCTGTAGGCCCTTGTTTTCAGGCTTTCGGGCTGAAAACGACACGGGCCTGAAAATGGCCCGTGCAACCTGTTGCAGGCGCAGCATGTAACATCCTCCGTCGACTTCAGGTATGGCCTCCGCCTTTCTCTCCCTCCTCTCTACCTCCTAGCTTGCATCTACCTCTACCTAGCGCAGCGCTGTGTCGCGCTGCTCCAGCAGCGTGTCGCCTAAAAAGTGAGCTACTCGAACTGTATGTCGGCCCTGGCTTGACCCAGCTATATGTCGTGCTGGGCCTCGCTGGTGTGCCTCTGGTCCTTGGCCTGAAACGGCCTGCCTGGGTCCCTACTGGGCATCCAGGCCCTCCCTGCTGATGCAGCAGGGAGTGTCCGCTGCTGGACGAATACAAACCKGGCCCGAAAGGGCCTGCCTGTGAACAAAGAAGGCCCAAAACGTGGCCTTTGTCTGAACAGACCGAAAGTCTGTTCGGACGAACTACAAGGCTGAAACTGCGCAGACATAAATAAATAAATGAATACTGCCTCAAATCGAATCCTGCAGCCCTAAGGCCGGCCGTGGCGCATGTCCGAAGGGCATGCGGCCTGGGGGCCCCCAGCAACCGTCGGGCCCCCAAAATGGGGCCCATGTGCAGGCACAGCATGTAACACTCTCTCTCTCTCGCGCGCGCGCACACACACATTTTTTCTGGGTTAAGCCGACGTCCGTCCCAGAC